CTTTAGCATCACCTGCTGTATTTGTAGGGTGTATATGGACCAATTGATTAAAAGCAGGTGGCCTTCTATGCTCTCAGACCTTGTACATCTTTCCTCTCCAGCTCTTCTCCCACCAGGTCCACACTGGACCTTCAGGAGTTTCAGAGAGGAAAGGCAACAGTGACCCCCAGCCTTCGGAGGGCTTGGCTGGCCATTACCCCATGCATAGAGCAAACTTGATTATTTTCCATTTGTATTACTAAGGGCAAGGCCCAATCCACACGGTGGGTCTTGAAAAATACCCATCTTCTTTTAGGACATTCTAGGAAACAGGAGTTTCTCTTCTTTGATAGAAGTGTGCAGCTTCATTCTGAGAGTTTTCAACTAGCCCAAAAGTCTTGGCCTGTGCTATAGGTTTTTATATCTTCAACTTACAGCTTTTGAGAACCGATTTGGTCCCTCTGCAGATGATCCCCTCCTATAAGGGGGTACGAGAGTTTTGCCTAGAATTCCCATGGAGACAATGGCTGTCTCCATAACTGAATTCCAGGAAGGTCCTGTGGGGCTGAATCCAAAGTGGGAAATACTTGCAAAGCCTGGATGAACCTGGGTTCTGTAATCCATCCGTGTCTTCCCATAGAACAAGACAAGAGCATTCTGATGAAAGCATGGTGGCTTGACCGATATTCATAGGGGGCAAGATTCTGCAAGCCTCCAGGGGTTTCTCATAGAAGGCCAGCTAGACACTTCACTAGCTAAGTGCCTGGCAGCCAGAAAGCCCCACAGGCAGGCTCTGCTGATATCTGAGGAGGACTGGCTGGAGGAAGAGAAAGTACAGTTGAAGTGACGGGGAAGGTCAGCTTGTTGAGAACGCATCCTTATACTCACAGTTCTCTGTATCCTCCACAGAGGGTTGCAAACAGCTATGAACTTAAATGCAGGGTACAACGATCATTTTTAAATGACCCCCAAATTCTTTTTTTTTAAAGATTTTATTTATTTATTTGACAGACAAAGATCACAAGTAGGCAAAGAGGCAGGCAGAGAGAGAGAGGGGGGGGGGGGAAGTGGGGCTCAATCCCAGGACCCTGAGATCATGACCTGAGCCAAAGGCAGAGGCTTTAACCACTGAGCCACCCAGGTGCCCCCCAAAATTCCTTTAAAGGAGAAGAAAATAGATGTGATCAGGTACCCGAGTGATCTAGTTACCTAATTGTCCTGAAACTAAGAAAAAAAAAAAGATAAAATTGTTCTGGGTTATATCATTTTCCAGTGACAGAAAACAGGAAATAGGGGGTTTTGTGAACTTTTCTTTTTCCTGGAAAATACTTTCTCTTGGCACTGAATATCAAATTTGTCCTTGTCTAAAGGGTAGTGGGTACCAAAGAAGGCAGTTCCCTTTTTACAAGATGTGAAAAAAGAACGCTGCTGAATATAATCTTCTGTACTGATGTTCTGAAAAGTAGGGCCCTACCATTTGGACTTACTTCTGTGCAGACATTTCTTTGGGACGCCAGCAGTTTATATTGGCTGGCCAGTGGTCTCAATTCATACTGAGCCCAGAGTTTAGAAAACTCAGAGAAATACAAAGCTGGGATGCCTATCTTGTTCTTCTCAATATCCCTGTAATACACAGCACGCACCTTTTATCTGTTTTTAAATTTTTTATTTAAATTCAATTTAGTTAACATTTAGTGTATTATTAAATTTCAGGAGTTTAGTAATTCATCAGTTGCATATAACACCCAGTGCTCATTATATCATGTGCCCTCCTTAATGTCCATCACCCAGTTATCCCATTTCCCCCCGCACCTCCCCTCCAGCAACCCTCAGTTTGTTTCCTAGAGTTGCTTCTCTTCTAGTTTGTCTCCCTCTCAATTTTTATCTTATTTTATTTTTCCTTCCCTTCCCTATGTTTGTCTGTTTTATTTCTTAAATTCCACATATGAGTGAAATCATATGGTATTTGTCTTTCTCTGACTGACTTATTTCGCTTAGCATAATATCCTCTGGTCCCATCCACATCATTGCAAATGGCAAGATTTCATTCTCTGCTATGGCTGAGTAATAGTCATATATATATATATATATATATATATAAAATATCTTTTTTATCCATTCATCTGTTGGCGGACATCTGGACTCTCCATATTTTGGCTATTGTGGACCTTGATGCTATAAACATTGAGGAACATGTGCCTCTTTGAATCACTATGTTTGTATCCTTTGGATAAATACCCAGTAACACACACACACGCGCGCACACACACACACACCTTCAAAGGGGTCAGAGGCATCCTTCCATCCTTCCATAGCCCTGGTCTCTGAAATGCTCCCTTGCTGTATCATCAAAGCTAAGTGGCCCTGGGCTAGAGTAGAGTAGACTGTTAGGTGTGAGGCAGAGCTTATATGTGGGACCTGATTGTATCTGGGTATTTGTAGTTTCTGAAATGTTCTCTCAATTGTATAGCTTACTTAAATGTAACATTTAAAAAGAAATGCATTTTCTTTTCTGGCACAAAGTTCTACAGTTGAGTGTTGTCAGAGTTTCCTTTACAGATTCTCTTTGAAAAATAATGAAAGACAAAGAGCTCAGAAAACCAACCATAAGAAGCTATAAATTCCCGTTAGATGATGATCTTGCAGGATGATGAGTCACACCCTCAGAAGCATCCACAGTGTGGAGGCTGAAATTCAAGTGCGTCTCCTCCCCATGACTGCTCCTTCAGTCCTGCTCTCCAGAGATCAACGCTGTTGACCAGCTGGGAGGCTAGGAATCTATCATGTACATGATCACTCTGATAATGATAGCTTCAGCCTCATCACTGAGTGCAGAAACATGCTTCTTGTGCTTCTTGGGAAAGCAGGGGGTCGGGGAGGAGCAATTGTAGACACAACAGAGCTCAGACCCCAGTGTCTAGAGCTGAGTTGCTGGAATCTGAGGTGAACTAAACAACTGGTGGTATAACCATTGCCCCAGCATTTAGGAACTTTCCTTTAAAAAAAAACTTATTTATTCATTTTTTTGACAGAGACACAGAGAGGGAGGGAAGACAAGCAGAGGGAGTGAGAGAGGGAGAAGCAGGCTTCCAACCCAGCAGGGAGCCCGATGTGGGGCTTGATCTCAGGACCCTGGCATTATGACCTGAGCAGAAGGCAGGTGCTTAACAACCGAGCCACTCAGGTGCCCCTAGGAACTATTCACATCATTGGCTCAGCAGGCCATGAACAGCTGAGTCCAGTGACCTGCAGTGAGCCCTATGGGGATAGGTGTAGACCTTGGTTTTAGGCCCCGTTCATGTGACTCTTATCTCTCTTGCTCACATCTCTTCTTTGCTATACCCTTAGCCAGGACCTCAGACCCACTTCTAGGTAACAGCTGAAATTAAGCCTCTCTGTCTACACCAAGCTGGCCCCTTTATCCTTCCAGCTTAGTCACATTGTTTCCATGGGACCAGGAGGGGTTTGGGTGAAAACCCAGAAAAATGAAGAGTGGCCCACTGGTTCAAGGTCCCCCACCCAACTTGCTCCTTGTGCCCACTCACCATCAGAAAACCTGAAACATGGATAGAGAAGCCATACATTTACTTTTTATTATTATAGCATCTTCAGTGACAAGATCAACAATGGATAATTTTAGATTAGTCTGGTGAACTGAGGTCAAGGTGCTTTTTCTCCTGAAATGCCTTAGCTCTTCGGGATGGTTGCAGCTTGTCATATTTACTCATAAATTAGTACTTGGCAGATGTACAAGGATCTGTTTATTGCTGCATCTAGGCTGCAAGATTGTTTAAATTTTTTTTTATTTTAAAATAACTATAGATTCACAGTAAGTTGCAAAAATAATACATAGAGTCTCCATACAGCCTTCTCTTAATTTCCGTATATGGTTGTTACATCTTATGTTAACTCTGGTACAATTTCAAAACCAGGAAATTGACATTGGTATACTATGTATACATAGTTCTGTGTCATTTTATCCTATGTGTAGAGTTTATAACCACCACCACTATAACAGAATGAGTTGTTTATAGCACCACAGAGAGAGATCTCTTGTGCTACCATTTTATGGTCCTGCCCACCTTCCACCACCTCTCAACAGTGCTAAAGCCTGGAAACCCCTGATCTGTTTTTTCATCACAATCATTTTGTTCTTTAGAGAATGGTCTAAAAATGGAGTCATAGAGTGTGTAACCCATGGAGGTTGGCCTTTTTTACTCAGAATAATGCTACTGAAATCCATCCAAATGATTGCCTGTATCAGTAGTATGTCCCATTGTATTGCTGAATAGTATTCCACGATATGGATACACTAGAGTTTAACCATTCGCCCATTGAGAGAAACTTGACTGTTTCTAGTTTAGGGCCATTACAAATAAAGAAGATTACTGACATTTAATGTAATTACTGAAATGTTAAGATATAAGTCTGCCATTTTATTTTTTGTTTCCCTGTTTATGTTTTTTCCTGTTGTTCATTTCTGTTTTCTTTTCTTTTTTTTTTTTTGCCTCCCCATGCATTACTGAAAGATTTGTTAAAATTCTACTTTGATTTATCTATAGTACTTTTGAGTATATTTCTTTGTGTGAATATTTTGTATAAATTTTAGTTGCTTGAGGGATTGCATTATACATACATAACTTACCACAGGTGACTGGCATAGAGACTTTACCAGTTTGAGTATAAAGACCATAATAAGTCTTTTAAGTCTTAAAGTATTCTTATAAAACTTTAATTTTCTGTGACTTGTGTCTATCATTTTCTTAAACATTTCCTCTATATATGTAAAAAAAAATTCACCAAATATTTCTCAAAGTCATTTTCACACATAAATGGTCTAAAGCAAAGAGAGACAAAGTGAATTTAAGAAGCAAGTCAGTATCTTGGCCAGCACCACGAGGCCTGGCTTCCAGAATGTTCCCCTTACCACTCTCTTTCTTCTCCTAACCGAGGGCTTTTCTTCTTCAAAGTCGTTTATCCTTGTTGGCTGATTAGTCTTCAAGTTTTTGCCATAAACTACTCTAGGGAGATGTTGAACGGATCCTGGGGATGGAGACACAAGAGACTGAGGCGATTTTACTCCAGATCATGGAGGCAAAACACAGCAAGAGGTCACACAGGGGTCATCTAGGTCATGCCTGGCTTTCAGAGAGGGCAGGGACTAGGTTAGCCTAAATGGGGTTTTTGTTCTGTTTGAGGAAAGCAAAACCCCATGGTTTTCCTAGCAAGTGTTTTTACGCTTAATACAATATTCAGGAAAGAAAAGTGACTGTGTATTTTAGAGCATGAAGGAACATCAACATCAAGCCTTTTCCTTGATGAGAAAAAAAAAGAAAGAAAATGTGCAAAATGACTCCTGACTTATCTCTACTCTCTGCTTCATTCTGCTGCCAGGGTTTCCTGGCTAACAAGGTATCTACCATGAACATCTCTTGTGGCAAATCAAAACCTTCCCATTTATTTATCAGTCCTGGTGAAGGTAAACACATTTACAACGCTCTCCTAAGATATGGCTGTGAGAATGAAAGCATTATCAAGCACCCAGACCAATGATGGCAAATAAATGTCATCTTGCATACCAACCACTCATCTGGCAGTGAATCTGGAACCAGTGCCTGGGGGTTGTTGAGGACCAGGGGCTGTGGAAGAAGTATGGTGTGGGGGAGCAGGAGAGAGAGTAAGGGGCAAATGCGTGGTCCAGAACAAGATCTGCCTGGGGGCACAGGGAGACTTTTTTGCTTCATTCCTGTTCTCTGCCAGTTCCTTCAAGTGACTAAGAGGGGAACATTAATGCTAAAGAAAAAAATGTCTCCAGGGGTTAGGAATGGAAATGGATAGGATCCAAATAACTGGGCACCACTCTGTGTTTGGATCATGTGTCCTGCATGGATTCTGTACTTCTTGGTGAGAGATGAAGTTGCTAAAATAGAATGGCTACCTCAAGGACATGTTCAAGGCCCCACATGCTAGCGGTGTCTCCTGAGCCTAAGGCAGGACACCTCATCACACACTTCACGATGAGGCTGCTCTGTTCGTCTTGGGAAGAGCTTCTGGGAAATCACTTCTGGGGGAAATGTAAAGGAGGGTACTTTCAAAGCTGACCACGAGGCAGCGAGACAGATTCTCTAATATTCTACTCTTAGATACATAAATGTATAATCCTATTGTAAACTATTTGATAGCAGGTATCAAAAATTATTTTAAAAAATGATGCTTAACATATTTGCAATAATGAAGCTACAGCAAGAAAACAATGCAGAATAATTTATAAAGTCTTCATGGTAGAGACTTGCCTCACAAAATTATTTCTAGGAGTGAAATACTGGAAACAACTTGAATACCCAATAGTAACTTATGTGTGTTTGTTCAACTGGCTCACAGATGTTTTAAATTATGGTTATTAAGACCATGTAACAACATGGATTTCAAAGCAGGATGAAAATGAGGTCAATGTTGTCATTTTAACTGCATATAAAAATATATACAGAACCACAACTAGTAAGGAAATCTGTCACCATGATCGCTGGCTCACACTGCAGGGCTGTGGATACTTTAAGATGTTATATTTAAAACTATGCTGTGGTTTAGTTATTTTCATAATGGAAAACATTTAATGAAGGGAAAAGTTGAAAAGGGAATTTTGAGTCGTACTTTCGGAGATTTTGGAGAAAGAGTTGCCACAGCTAAGCATTCCAAAGGAAAGTAAGCAGCAAGGAGTGAAGAAATGAAATTTGCTGTCTGCTGTGCTTTATCGTGTGAAAAAGAAACAAGCTAGTCCCACTGAATTAACAGACCTTCCTGCTTTTCCACGGACCACTACAAAACTTGTCACCAACATAGGAAAGCCTTGATTAGGAAAAAAAAAAAAAAAAAAGTTTTCCTAAACATATCTTCCTTGATCCTCTCCTTATTTAGGTGGTGTGAAGGGATGAGTGGGTGTGAGTAACTGTGAGTGTGAGTGAGTATGAGTGAGAGAAGGTTCTCTCCACCACTGTCAATTCTACCAAAGACTGACTATGACTAGGGACACCATCCAAAGTAGTATTTCAGCTTTGAGATGCACCAAGCTTTAGTTCATGCAGAGAACTGACTTCTACTGAGTACTTCCTCTGTGTGCTATTTGCTATAGGTACGCAACAGCCCTTCCAGTCGGGGCTGATGCTGTTCCCACTTTACAGATGAGCAAACCAACGCTAAGTAAGGTGTCCAGGGAAATGAAAAAAACAGAGCTGTCCTGGACCTGGATCTGTCCAGCTCCAGAATCTTTGGCTTTTCTCTAGGCCAGGCCAGACCTGCCTACCACTTGGCCCTGATTGCCTAACTTTCTCGGACAATAACATTCGGTCCTGTCTTCTTTCAACTGGTCTGCCCAGGACAAGGCAAGCTTTCCCGTGCTGACTCAGTCCCTGTATCTAGCACAGTGCCTGGTAAGGTATTTATTTATTGACTGCACTGACCCATACCTGCACCCATTCTTTCCTTACTCCCACAAGAGTCTGGAAAAGAACTGGATATGAGAAGATGGGAATGCAATCTCATTCATTCACAGCCAGTCAAGAGCTTGCAGATTCAGTCTAGAAAGCTCCTAGAACCAACTGTGCATATGCAGACAAGAGAAAAAAAGATAAGACTGCTTTTAGTCCAAGACATTACCTACCAACACTTAATGATAATATCTGCCCATCTCTGTGGCTCAGTTTTGTCACCTTCCCAAAACTCAATGTCCATCTGCCTTCCTACCAATCCATGCTCTGAGATTCCTGGCCTCCGAAGGCCTGAGCCAAAGCATGCCCACAGAATGAACTCCACATCTGGGAGCTGGCAGTTGGTCCTGAAGTGCACTGTGACTAAGAGAGTGCTGGCCATAATGGCTACCCTGGTCATGGGCTATAGGCAGGAGAATTCTGGGAAGAAGGGGGGATGGATGGCCCTTTTCTGATTCATTGTGCCTGCACCTGTGGGTGTGTGCATGCAGAGAAGATAGAAGAGGCAAAGAATTAAAAGCCCTTCACTCAACAAAATCACAAGCCAAAGAGGAAGGGAAAGGTAATTTTATGGGCTTGGCTAGAGGAGCTGTTGCAGGAATGGAGTGCTCCCACAGTTCCCTGTAGATGCCACCCCCTACCTTCTTCCCTCCCTCCCTTTTCCCTTCCTGCTTCAGGGTTAGGGTCCCTGGTCACCTCCAGTCTTCCTGGGAATCCTTGGCCATGGAATTGGGTGAGACCAGATTGGAAAAGATGGCCTTTTTCGGTGCTCCCGTGGCCATATTCTTGATTTTGTTCAGCTTGTCCCGGGCCTGTTGGCATTTTCTCAGGCAATTTGAACACAGATCTTTGTCTTCCACCAGATATAAGTTGTCCAGCCTCTTGATGGTATCTATGAATGTGTCTGACTCCTCCGACTTGGGAAAGGGGTTTCGCTTTATGTTGAGCTTTTTGAGCTTGGGGAGCTTGGAGATGCTGTTGGGGATGCTGGTCAGCAGGTTGTCATAGAGCCCCACCTCATGGAGCTCCTTCAGAGCACCCAGGGTGGTGGGCACACTGTCCAGGTGGTTCAAGCCTAGGTTCAAGGTGCGGATATTCTTGAGCTGATTGAGCTCCACAGGCAGCCCATTGGTGATGAGCCTGTTGTTGCTGACATTGAGGTAGAGCAGAGTCGTCATCTGGCCAAGGGACTCAGGAAGCTTGTCGATATAGTTGCTGTGCAGGTCCAGCCACCGCAGGTTCTGGAACTTGGAGATTGATTCAGGGATTTTTCTGATCATATTCCGGCTAAGGTCGAGCTCATCCACATCATTCAGTCTCAGGATACACTTGGGGAAATTGGTAATTCCCATCTTGCTCAAGTCAAGGCGTTTTCTCCCATCAAATGTGATTTTGATACAATTCTTGGCCACTTTGAGGGTGATCTTCTTGCCCTTAGGGCCTTTCCCGCCCTTGGCCATGTTCTTTTAGTAAGGGCGTAGGTTTGAAGTGTGCTGTTCTGATTGGTGGGTGGTCGGTTTGAGGGAAAAATCACAAGAAACTGCTATATATACGGTGACAAGAAGAGAAAAGAAGTCTAGTTAGGAGCTGACATGAGGGCACCAGACTCCCCCTGAATTGTAATGCTTCACTCGCTAGTGGTTAAAGGAGAGAATGAGGAGGGTGGACAGAAATTAGGGCATCAGCAGAAGTCACCTAGCCAGAGGTCTTCAGCAAATTCAGTGTCCTCTTCCGGGATGTGGGGTCGGCCCAAAGGATGCTCAGTGTTCCTCTGGCTGTGCCATTCCCTGACATACGAATCTCTCCACTATCCTGGGCTCAGATATACCCCCCACCCCCACCACCAAGGGCTCTGTGTGTGTGTGTGTGTGTGTGTGTGTGTGTGTGTGTTCTTGGCTATCTGCTACTTCCCAGACCCTCACAAAAATCTAGTGTTTCCTTACAGTTATCCCATGAGTCCCTAGGGTGGGGACTGCTGAGTTCTCAGAAGCAGCACAGCCTGGGTATGAGGGAATAGGTGGGAGTGAATGACTCACGTCTTATATCTCTCCTCACCTTCTTCCTGGACCCAGAGGCAATAGTTGGGCATGAACTACTGTCACTGCAGTGTGTCAGGAACAGCAAGAGAGCATCTTTCACTCGGCCCGCAAGTGCACGTGGGTGCCCACACCTCCGTGAGGAGGTTGGAGGAGCCAGGGTTGAGCCCAGCAGCAAGAGAACGCTGTCTTTTTCTACTTCCTACCCTCTATGCTTCCTCCCTCACATCCTTCACACTGCAGTCCCAGTGCAGACAGCTCGGCACTGACAGGTCTGATGTTAGCTATGACTGCTACCACATGGAGAAGTAGAATGGACAGAGGCATGGGTAGATTCTGGCCTCAAAATGCTTGGCTTAGAAGTCTAGCTCCGCATTAAAGAATTATCTTAAATTTTCAGTGCCACAGTTATCTCATTTATGAAAACAGCCCTCTGATAGGGCTCTTGGGGAGTGTAAATTATCTAAGCCATAAAGTGCTTACAACAGTGCTTGGCACATAGTAAAACCTTGATTAATGTTAACTATTAAATATCATTATCAGGAACTTTGCACATATTCCTTTTAATCTCCAACTGTCCAATAAGATCCATAGGATTATCTCCATTATAAAGAGAAGAAGACTGAGGCTTGGGAGTAAGGAAGATCTTTAGCTAGGAAGAAGATGTAAACTGTCCTGTCCTATTCTAGGGACTGTTTTCTAAAACCTGGTGCCCTTTGCTTACTGATTTTCTATCTTGGACCAAGCTCCCACCCTGGACAAAAGCTTACTGTCAGGAGACAGATCCTTGCATTAGCTCCATTTCCCTGCAGGCATGAATGGGAGAGATGCCCTGCAGTTTCTGTAGTTCATCATTCAGTCCCTCTATCAGGAACCAAGTTTGCAAAACACATGAAGCACCAGCAATTGGGCTATGTGAGTCTATCATCACACGTTTTCCTCATTCAGTAATCCTCAGTGTCAAAAGGAAGTGGGTAAAAATTACCTTCCAGGGGCTTACTATCAATCATGCTATTGCATTGCAATCATGCTTAGCATCCTAGCTAAGGTCAGAGGGTCCAGCCCTATGCAGGTCATCCTGGATCAGAGCCTCCTGGGATGGAGATCTCCAGAGTAAACCAACGGAAGCATTCTTAGCTCTCAGCAGCACTGGTGTTCTTTCAAGCAGGCCTTGCAAGCTGAACCCAGTCTTTAGAAACAAGGAACTAAGCACATTCAGGCATAGTTGGCTGGTTACCAAAGACAGTACCGTGTTTACCACTGTTGCAGTTTTTACCTCATGCAGAATTGAGGAACCAGAAAGGATAAAGCAGGCTAAAAATGAAGGCTGGGGTTCTAGCTGCAGTTAGGATGGAATAAGGGCCCTCGTCCCTGTCTCACCAGTTGTATGCAGCTAAAGGCCCCAGACAGAACTCCTGGAGCAGTTCTCGGAGCATAAGATGAAGGCTAAGGTTAAAAGATATCTGAGGATAAGGTGATAGAGTATCAGACAGATTGAAAAAGTAACTCAAAATAAGACCAACTTTGCAGCAATGGTGATGGGAAGATTTACAAGAAAAGCCCCCTTCTGTGCTCAAAACCAAGAAAGGGGGACTCCTGGGGTTGTGGAGAATGAGGGAGAGGTCCTGTTTTTTTTCCTGTTTGTTTTTTCCATCCTCTGCTGCCTCAGCTCCAGGCAATCCTGTATCACTAGAGTTGGCCAGGCAGGCAGCTAAAACTCTGAGGGAGGAGAACCATTGTCTCTGACCAAAATTCTGTCCCAAGGACATGGAGGTTGCTTTTTGCTCTCAACCCTACTGCCACTTGGCCCCAGAGGCAGAAATAGTGGCAGGAAGTACACAGCTGATTTAGAAAATAAAAATCCCAAGATTCTATCCAGAAGACCAAGGAGGGAAGCCACTCTTAGAGCCACAATGGGTGATTGTAAAGAGGAGGGGGTTTAATTAGCTTGTATATGAACTCCTGGACACACCCTGAGATGTCTATGCATGGAGAAAACCCTGAACGAGATCTTTAGTACCCAATCCCAAACTGTGAACCCAAAAGCTTTGAATGTTGAGCTGAGAGGTAGATCACCGCACAGATCATTTCAGCTGATGCTGAAAAAATGTGTGACAAAAGTTAACATCCACTTATGATGGCAAACCAGTAATAGAAAGGCTTTCTTAACCCAACAAAAGGCGTGTGTGCATGCACACATGCACGCGCACGCACACCCACACACACACCCACACACCCACCCTATATTTCATATCATACCTGTGACAGACTAAATGCTTTCCCCCTAAGTCTGGCAACAAAGCAAGAAGGTAAACCCTCAGTGTGCCTATTCAACATCATATTGGAAATTCTAGCCAGTGCAATAATGCAAGAAAAATAAAAGGCATACAGATAGGAAAGAATGAAATAAAACTCTTCTTACTCACAAATCACCTGCTTATCCACCTAGAGAGTTCCACCAAATTTAAAAAACACTCTTGGAAGTAATTATTGTGTTTAGCAAGGTTATAGGATATAGATTAACACCTTGGTTAACACACACAAAAAAACTTTCGTATTCCAACAATAAACAATTGGAATTTGAAATTTGAAAAATAATAATGCTCCAAAAAATAAAATTTGTGTATTTCACATAAGTAATAAAAATGTACAGCATTTCTGTGATGAAAATTATGAAACACTGATGAAATAAAGCAAAGAAGATCTAAATAAATGGAGAAACATAGCATATTAATGAGTTGAAAGACTCAATATCATGAAGAATCAATTCTAACCAAATTGGTCTAAAGATCAATTACAATTCCAGCAGGATTATTTGTATACATGAATGAACAGATTTTAAAATTTATATTGAAAGGAAAAGAAACTAGAAATCCAAAAATTCTAAAAAAGAAAACATCAAGTTAAGGGATTCATGCTTTCAGTTTTAAAATTTGCCATGTAATTACAACATGTGGTGTTGGTGAAGGGACACATACATAGATCAGTGGAATAGAAAACAGAGGCCAGAAATTAGAGCCACACAAATACATCCAAATGATCAAATTATTTTTGACAAAAGTTCAAAGGAAAGTCAATGGAGAAACCGTGAACTTTCCAACAAATAGTGCTGGAACAATTGGTTACCCACAAACAAACAAACAAAAATAATCATCTCAAACTATTGAAATGAACTCAGATTAACTCAAATGAATCACAGATATAAATGTAAAGTGTAAAACCAGGAAACATCTAAAAGAAAACATCTTCATAAGCTTGAGTTGGGCAAAAGTACAATCCATAAAATAAAAGAAAATATTGACAAATTGGACTTCCACAATATTTACAAAAATTTCTGCTCTGTTAAAAAAATCAAGAATAAAAAGACAAGCTATAGAATGGAAGAAAATATCTGTAGATCTCATGTCCAACAAAGAACTAGTATCTAGAATCTACAAAGAACTCAAGGTCAACAATAAGAAGACAATATAATAAAAATAAAATGCCCAAGAGATTTAACAAGATTTTTCACCATAAAAGTTATAGGGTTGGCAAATAAGCCGACAAAAAGTTGCTCAACATCATCAGTCACTAGGAAATGCCAATTAAAATCACAAACAGATACCACTACACAGTTATTCGAATGTCTAAAATAAAAAAACAAAAGCCCTTAAGAAATCTAAATAGTACAAATATTTGGCAAGGAAACAGCAAACAGAGAACTCATGGGAATTCAAAATGTTACTCCAAAAAAAGTTTGGCAATTTCTTATAAAATGAACTGTATACTTACCATACTTACCCAACATTTCCCCAACTAGGCAATTACCCTAGAAAAACAAAAATTTAGGTTCACACAAAAACTTATGCATGTGTTTATAGCTGCTCTATTCGTGATTGCCAAAACCAGAAGAAAACAATCCAAAGACCTTCCAGTGGGTGGATGGATAAAGAAATTGTGGCATATCCTTATCACGGAACACTGTGAAACAGAAAGAGGACAAATCTGTTGATCCATGTGACAGCTTGGATGCATCTCAAACGCATTTTGCTGAACAAAAGAAGCCAATCTTCAAAGCCCATATAATGAATGATTCCATGTAGATGGTGTTCTGGAAGAGCCACAGTCATAGTACAGAAAACAGAGGAATGTTTGCCCAGGACTAGGGGCAGAGAAGGCAGCAGCAGGAGGGAGTTTTCTGGGGTGCCGGAACTGCCTGTATCCTGACCTTGGTGCTGGTGTGAAACTGTACATATGTTAGAGCCCAGGGAACTGTGCACTAAAAAAAGGAAAATTTACTGTACACAAATTTACAATTTTGAAAAAAAACTTAAAAATACTTAGGACTCTACTTCTGCTTCTGTCCTTTTCACTGTGGCTCCTTGCTTGGCCTGGTTTAGAAGCCTGCAACTTTTGATGCCCCCACATAGCCCTGTCTTGCCCGG